AATGTTATTTATCACATCAGTTTAATAACTGTGTCTGCACTGACATCAGGAAGACACTCAGAATTTAGAACCGGTAAAGTTCATGTTTATAACATTTATTCACCAGAGAGCCATTCAAAAAATAAACATTCAGACATCTTTAGCTTCATCGCGAATGCCTAATTAGTGATAAAGCATGCCGGTGACCGATTGCGAAAGAAATAAGATTAAGCTTCTGGCGAAATGGCTGTAGCAATTCAGATTTTACTTTTAAAGCATGAGACCATTCTACTAAACATTAACGCTAATTAGCATGGTTTCATATTGTCTGAGATTTTATTTTATACTGATGGAAACCGGAAACCGTGGTTGCATGAATAAAGTTTTAACAAACTTTTGTTCCTTAATCACATTACGTGAGACTGTTACTGTGCGGCTCAAAATATATGAAAAATTATCGGTTATTTAATGCTTAAAATTCGAACCCTTCTTTACGCTATAACACATTCGTTTTAAAATACTTTTTGTTTGTTGTTAAGAATATCGATGTAAATAAAACAAGCTCGAAGAACGAATTCAATGTTTCAAGAGTGCCAAACTAAAAGGCAAAGAAAGACACGTTATCTAGACGTAACGTTGGTTTTGTCAGTTATAAAGCAACGTAAGCGCGCCTCACCGATGCTGATTCGTTCCCATTCGTCCGGCAAAGAGACATCTAGTACGGTTTGTAAAGGAATGATATGAAGTTGCATGCTTCCGCGTAAATGCTCTGGCACGTCTCGCAGTATTTCCAAGTAGCAGCGAAAAAGACCGGTGGTCACCAGCTGGGCGAGACCATCTTCCTGCTCGTTTGGTCCAAAATTGAACGGGTTTACTAAGTAAATGACAACAACGTGTGGGAATGTGCTGTCCTCACCGGACGCCGTGTCGGAAGCGTCGGCTAGGTTTGAGTCGTTGAACATGTTTTCCATGCCGCTGGTCGTCGATGCTTGCGTTGGCAACGAACCGGGAGCCGGCGGAGGGGGCATCGCTGAGTCGCCGCTGCCACTGTTACCGCTGCATGACTGACTCTCTTTACTCAGGTCACGGAAAACTGATGGGTCGAAAGCGCTGCCTAACGGCGAACACAGCTGTGGAGCCAAGTAATGGCGACAAACTTGAGCATACAGTTTCAATCTCGATCCTGAACAAGTACAAGAAGGCGATTAAGGTCGACAATAGAGAAGCGAATACAAGCACAAAGGAAAACAGTAAGCAACGAGAGGATTAAAACTTCATAAGTATCGTCACTCACCAAGCGATTTGCCTGCAGTAC